GCCGCATCACCATCCGCCGAGATGGTGTTGAAAGAAAAACCAAACACATCATCCTGACCTTTGACTCGACCACACTACCTGAAACTCTGAAGGCAGGCTATCTACAGTGCCGTGTACGGCCCTATGTGCCGAACCCTCAGAGGTGCTTCAAGTGCCAACGGTTCGGCCATGGGTCACGGAGCTGTCGGGGAGCCGACACTTGCGCCAAGTGCTCCAGCAGAGAGCATGCTGCTGACACCTGCTACAATAATCCGAAATGTGCCAACTGTGAAGCTCCTCACCCGGCATACTCTCGCTCCTGTCGTTTGTGGAAGCAAGAGAAAGAAGTTCTCACTCTAAAGGCAAAGGAAAATATTCCCTATCATGAGGCCAGAAAACGTTTTTCTTTCCTGGCAAAAGGTGGATATGCCGAGGTCGTGCGTAGGGGACCTGCACGGCCAGTAATGGCATCGGCGGGAACACAGACGTCTCCGGACGATCTGCGGGTCTCGTCGAAGTCCCCACCCAAACCCGCAAAAATGGTGCCAGCGGCACCATCTTCCAAGCCCAGGGAGGGTGCTGGCCCGCCAGCATCCACCCTCGAGCAGGGGATGGCCCCCCTGCTTCTGTGTTCCCCCGGGGCCAGGGCCAGCCACCCCGAACCACTGCCCCGAGGAAGCCCGGTGAGACGTCGAAGCAGTTGGCCCCTAAGGGTCAACTGACGACACCACCGGAAGAGCCCATGGAAGAATGCGGGCTCAGATCCGACGATGAGGCTCTCCTCTCGGGATCGGAGTCCTCCCTCGCTGCTCCCACTACCTCTAGTGGGAAGCAGAATGATTGCACGAAAAAGAAAAACGCTCCGCGCATAAAAATTGATTTTAAAGCCTAGTAACCTGTTTTTAGCCATTTTTGCAGTTTATAAGTTAAATTTTATTTTAATTTTAGCACTGCTATGACTAATCAATTAGGTGTCATGCGGTGGAACTGTCGCGGCCTTCTTCGTAATATTGATGACGTTAATTTTTCTCTTGATGAGCTTCATCCTGTGGCACTTTGTTTGCAGGAAACCTATCTGAATGACGAACGCGCACAGGTCTTACGCCGACACCAGGTTTTTTGGGAAGAACCGCCTTTCTCCTAACCCTTCTGGTGGAGTCGCAGTAGTAGTGCAGAGCGGGGTTGTGTGTGCTCAGGTTCCTCTACAAACACCACTCGAGGCAGTAGCAGTTCGCGTTCTCCTTAACCGACTCATCACCCTCGTCTCTCTCTACCTGCCACCCAACGTTCCAATGCAGCTCCACGAGCTACAAGGACTCATAGATCAGCTGCCTAAACCTTTTTTAATTCTAGGTGATTTTAATGCCCACCACCCTTTGTGGGGTAGTGTTCGTCAGGATTCCCGTGGTGGAGTTATAGAACGACTTTTATTATCCTCCGGGCTCTGTCTTCTGAATAAAAAGGAGCCAACGTTTTTTAGTGCTGCTCATAACACCTTTACATCAATAGACCTTTCCATATAATCACCAGATTTACTTCCGTGCTTTTCATGGAAAGTTTTAGATAATCCATTTGGCAGCGATCATTTCCCCATAATTTTAGAAAGCTCAATACCCCCTCCTTCGCTTTCGACCCGCCTTCCAAAGTGGAAGTTAGAGAAGGCTGACTGGGCTCTTTTTGGTTCAAATTCCGTACTAGATCCATCGATTTTTCGCAGTATGTCCGTCGAGGAGGCGACGGTGTTTGTCACTGAATGTCTAATTAATTCTGCTGCATCTTCTATTCCGCAAACATCCGGCGTCCTACCCCAGAGATGCAAACCCTGGTGGAATGAGGACTGCACAGTCACTCGCAGGAAACAGAACCAGGCATGGGGTATATTTCGCCGTTATCCCACTGCTTTTAACCTGATTGAATTTAAAGAAAAGAACCTCCTTGTGCAACATCTAAATGGTAAGATCAACAACTCCCTGCGACGCGGTCGGGACATCAAGTTCTGCTGGGTGCTCAGCCACGTTGGGATTTTGGGCAATGAAAAGGCGGATAAATTGGCCACGTCTGCCCGAGGCTCATCTATAACATTCAATTGCTTATCCTACCAAGATTTGAAACCACTTCTGAGAAAATCTATTTTTCTCAAATGGCAGCTGGAATGGGATACAGAGAGCAACAACAAACTTCGCATTATCAACCCCTTACTCGGCGTTTGGGAGAGCTCTTATAACAGAGAACGTCGTGTGGAGGTTCTTCTGTGTCGTCTAAAAATAGGTCACTCCCGTGTGACACATCAGTATCTGCATCGTGGTGAGGATGTTGCACTATGTGAACATTGTGGAGAGCTTCTGTCTGTTTTGCACATTTTGCGGCATTGCTCGTCCCATCAGCCACTCCGTCCATCATGTTGTCTCGAACTTTTCAGGGATCATCTCCCATTTCATCCCTCGTTTTTACTTGGCGACAAACCTTTAGTTCCTTTCAGCCGTGTCTTAGACTTTTTTTAAAACAAACTGGATATTTATACCAATTGTAAATATGTAGCCTCAAAGTAAACTTTTGTTATAGTATGCTCTAAATACGTTAAGTTTGGCGCATTATGGCCTTCGTTGCTGCTGTGCCAATAAACTCCTAATCACCACCACCATCATCATCATCAGCCTTACCTGAGTTTATCGTTTCGTCAAGCGACGAATTACGTACTTGTGTATGCGGGTAAAAAAAAAGTCAAATTTGGGGGTTTTACATGCAAAATAACGACGGGCATCTGGCACGCTCCAGTGGAGGAGTGAGGATTAATATGGACCACCTGGGGATCTTTCGACGTGCAACCGAAAGCTCGGTTACACGGCGCCTCCTCCGCAATAAGCCTCATGTCAGATTGCGGGCACCTCGGCCGGGATTTGAACCCACCACATTGGGATCCGTAGGCCAGCGCTCTCACCTCGGAGCCACCGAGGCGGCCGTGAAAGCGGGTATTTCAAGAAAGTCATTGAAGACTATCGCTATTTAGCCACGTTGTTTTGGCACGAGTACTGGTCTGGGGTTTCGCGTATAAGGTTGTCTCACGACTTGAATGATCGATTTAATTTTTCCGATTCAGTTGCACCATACGTTCTACTGCGAATGCCCAAGGCAGGATGTCCTGATGCGAGTCAAAATAATGGTGGTGCCTGACTTGCGCGAAAATTTTTTAGATGCGGAGCATCTCTTGCTTGGGTCTATGTCCCGCGGCGTCGTAGTCCGCACTCACGCTACGCATGGGCAACTCTCCTCCTTCCCTCTCTTCAACAGCTGCGCGTTACTCTCTCCGCTCTCTCTCTCTACCAGCTGCGTGCACTTCGCGTGCGTTCGCTTCTACTCACACCGCGCGCGCATGCGCAACTCTCCTCCTCTAGTCTCCTATCCTTCAAGTGTGAATATAAGCAGCGGTAGCGCGCTGCGCGCGTTCAGGGGGGAGGAAGTGGCCGAGTGGGCTGACGTGTCTCAGCTCGGAGCGTGGAGCGAAAGCTTGCGCTGGGAACCTTCTGGGTTTGATCCCCGCCGCCCCCGCCCGTTTCGATCTGGATGAGTTTCGTACCGGCATGCGTTCGTGTAATCACTACTGCGCGATGCACGTTAAAAGAAATTACACCATCTTCTCGAGGGGAACCATGGGGTGATGCGGAGCATCGCGGACTTTCCAACAACGTTCACGCGATGTACCAACGCAAGTTAACAACGTAATAACACGCAAGTTAACAACGTTATTAACAACGTTACTAACAACGTTACTAACAACGTTACTAACACCGTTAATAACGATCCGCGATGCTCCGCATCACCCCATTGTTCCCCTCGGGAAGATGGTGTAATTTTTCTTTAATTGCACACTCAAACGCTGCTCGTTAAAGCTTGGCTAGCCGAAAAGGGCTTGTCCGTACGTAGCGTGGTCAAATAATGGCTTGTTATGCAAAAAGCAAGAAAAAATCGAACACGTCTTCCTGGACTGCTGGGATGCGGTGTTCCTTTGGGACGTCTTGCAAAAAATCCTCAAAAAGGACCTCTCACTAACGCCACACGGGATGCGGTATACGTTTTTTAGCTGTTGGAGGGGGCTGCTCTGTGACCCTTGACATTATCATACTGATGGGCGTTCACAGTTCATGGAAGTGCTGCATGGCCGTGCGCCACACAGACATTGACGGACGTGCTGCACACACGTATTTTGTTGAGCATATGTGTTTCCTGAAAGAATTGTACAGGGCCCAGCAGCCCCAACCCGAGTGGCGGCCACTTCTTGAGCCACTCCATTCCCTCAAATATTTCTAGTATTTGTGACGTTAGTGAGTCAGCTGATGTGTTTTAGTCTTTAACTTGCGTCAATATACAACGCCCGGCAATAAAAACATTAATAAAAAAAAGCGCCGGTGGCTTAACGGTTATCGCGCTTGCGTTCCCCGCAGACGGCCAGCGTTCGATTCCTGGCCGCGGCTGCACGTTTTTGTTGACTCTGTAATGTGATGTTCTGGTAAATTCGAGAACCGTCTTGGCTGATTCGAGGTTGGAATGTTCTTCACACCAAACCTTCTATGCCGTATGTTCCAGAAGCCCACGCGTGTACAAAAGGGGCTCCATGTGGCAAGCCGGAGTCAGTCTCGCCCCAGCGTTCGATCCTGCTGTTACGCCGCCATCGACGCCCCCGACGCTCTATTGTTATCTTCTGTTCCCTTTCTTGTTTGGGGAACAAGTTCGCCCCAATGAACGCTTAGTTTACATCATAACAAATACCTACCTTCTAAAAGTCCTCAGTCACGTTACATGCTTCAATATGAGGGCACAGTAAATCTACAGCAGCGTAACCTTACTGAAATTGTCGAGATGATGTATGAAAAGTGAAATTGTTTTTTTTTTTAAACAATAAGTCTTGTAATGCTGCAGATATCGACTTTTATTTTTTTTCTTATTTTGACAAAATTATAAAGGAAAACAAAATAAATTAAACCGCACATTTTGTAAGAATGTGTGCTTTCCATCTCACCAGCAGCTTATAGCGCACATCTCTGGCATATATAGTTATACACTGTCTCATTCCGTTTTTGCCATGCTTCAAGCCAATGTTGAAGTTTTGTAGCCCACTCTTCATCGCAGTACTGTGGAAAGAAAAATTTCAACATGGTCATTGGCCGATATTAAAGAGTAATAATTATTATACGTAATAGTTTTGCTTAGAGCATATTATATTTATTTTATGTTGTTATTTTATACTTAAAATACTTATTTTAAGAAAGAGCGACGAGTCGTACAACAAAATATTTGAAGTTCAATATGCTCTAAATAAGATAAATAATTGTTTATCTTTATGGTTATTCTCGCACTTAACACACTTAGATATTTCATTAAGACAGAAGATGGAGGAAGAGAATCAGTTTTCATCACCTCCATAAAGGTTTAACATTAGCCTGTATAATATTCGAAGAACGTCAGTTTTTCCCACTGGCACAACAGCTCAACAGCTACAGTTAGACCATCCTGACCACTACCACAACCTTGACGATTACGCTATTTTAGCACTGCAACTAAACCTACCAATTAATAAGACGACCTTGATTATGATAATACTTTTGAAAAAGCAATGCCCCGCTGACTCCTGGAGGTTCTTGAAAAGTTACAAAAATATAAGAGCAAAGCAAAATCTATAAAACGAGTTAGAATCATTAAATTTCAATAATCACGTCACATATACTTGCTCATTTTTATATCTGACGTAACTTATATAAACTAGGTCAGTTTTCCATTGACAGCGCGATAAGCACGAAAAAAAATACTCAAAATATGAATTTAATTTGGCTCGCTTTTAGCTCTTAATGAAAAATGTTTTTATATATTTTGAAAAAAAAGAAGAAATCACCAATATTTTCTATATCCCGGTCGCAATGTCTACATCACTATATTCAAAAAGATTAGTTACAATCAAAGGCACAAGTTTCATTTAAGTGTAAAAATTGCCCCAAATGTGTCGTCATAAAAAGGAAAAGGAAAAACGGTGTGTGTGTATATGTGTGTGTGTGTGTTTTAATTGATAGCGACCTTTCTCTCAGAAGCCCCGCAATGCATTAAATGCATTATTTAAGGAGCGATCGTCTTTTTTTTTCTTTTTTGTTAAAAGGGGTTTCCAAACATTTTGGCTAAATGGTAGGATAAAAACAAAATGTCACTGTCTCGAGGGTCACAACATAAAGTAAGTATAGTATAAGAAAACGTAAACAAGTATATTATATAGGCATTTATAGGAAAAAGAAAGCTACGGCACAGATCTAAAAAGACAAATATCAGGTGGAAAAATACAACTGCTTTATCTTGAAATTTGTTTGTCAGCTAAATTATGCCATTACTCCATACGCGTGACGCAGAAATATCTCCATGCATAAATCAAATCACATAGTAATTTCGACAGGTTCCTATGGGGCAGAGCACTAATGAGTGTTATCAAACTGATGCTCTTAATATGCAAAATATAGGGCATGGGACGCTAAGCACAGTGTACATGGGAACGTAAAGGAGTTTTGACATTCGCGTTACACAGGGGAAACAGAGAATTAAAAATTGTGTACCTAATGAAGACAAATGCAAATTAATATTATGACGAAAGGACGCATATTGGGATAGGAAGTTTTCTCTCGATTTTCTGGCACCCTTGTTCACGCGGTTGGTGCACATTTCGGCGCGTCCCGGCGCCGTTTTTCACAGGCGCTTATTTTTGCGCCGGTAACAACGGAACTGCTGGAAACGGGCCGCGGACCACGCTTCATATAAAGAACCGCGGCCTGCCACCGGCCGGTCGGATGACCTCCACGGGCCCGATTTCGCCCATGGGCCGGAGTTTGGAGACCACTGGCATAAAAGATATGAAATGTAGTCTGAGGTTATGATGTCCAGTCAAATAGACACATGAGACAACGCGTCACGTGGCCTGGCCATACACGACGAAATGATGGAGCGTGGCGTCAGGATGTCAATTTGCGGTGTAACATAACACCATAACGCTACGTGATCGCACGTCAGGTGACTCCACTGCGTCGCATAACGTTGTCACGTGAAAGATTTTCAGGTTTATTTCACTCTGTCAAGTCGACGAATCCCCCATTATACATAGCAGAAAATTTGACGTCCCCTGATAGCACGACATGCGACGTGGTCACCATTCGTGACGATCAGCCAGTATGCAAAGTCTCTAACACATCTCCTCAGGGGCAGGGCGACGTTCCCGAAAGCGATCTTTATGAATACCACTCGCTCATGGCAGCCGGTGCTGGTTTCTATATTGCTACACACAATGATTTTGCGTTTTGTTTTTTTCAAATATTATAAAAAGGGTTTTTTATTTCTTTTTTTTCTTAGATAAAAAACAACAATTTGCTCGTTCTGCAGTGATGTCCGGACTAAAATTTATTCGCAATAGGAGTGGCGACTACCCTTCCGATGACGCGATGTCCGTCTGACGCGGATATGTGCAAGTGAGGTGATAAACTACATATAGATTCACAATTGTTGTTCAGGCAAAGCGTGGCTGTCTGGCAGATTTATAGACCTTAAAAAATTCCGCGTTCAGGCTGCCACGTGCAATTTAAAATGACGTTACCTCAATACTTGTTTTGTTTATTCGTGTAGCGAAGTTTTCCCAACATAAGTCACAAGAAGGAATCTCACAAACTCGGAAAGGAAAATGTCCCAGGCAGCACATAGGTCTGGGTCGAAATTTGGCTTTTGTCAAGGCGTTTAGGCACTTGAAAGACCGAAGATTCCTAAAGAAAAGCCTAACAAAACCGCCCTTGGTAAGAGTCTGGGTATTTCGGCACTAACTTGCCTAGCAAGTGCCAGACTTAGGCGCCGGCCGAGGTGCCCGCAATCTGACGGAGGCATTTTGCGGAGGAGGCGCCGTGTAACCGAGCTCTCGGTTGCACATCTAAAGATCCCCAGGAGGTCGAAATTAATCCTCAGTCCTTCGCTGGGGCGTGCCAGATTCCCGTCGTCGGTTTGGCACGTAAGACCCCGAAATTTAACTTTTGCCAGACTTAGGCTTTACTGGCTCGTATTTCGGCTGTCATCTGGCCTCTTTGGGCCAAAATCGCCAAGCAAATGAAAAAGTCAGGCTTCACTTTTTGATACTTCGGCTGTTATCTGGCAGCTTTGGGCCAAAATGACCACATATGTGCAGAGTTAGACTTACTGCCTTGTAGTTCGAATGACATCTGGCATCTTTGGGTCCAAGTCGCCAGGCAAGCGCCAAAGTTAGGCTTGCCTGGCGACATCCGGCCAGAACGAGGTCTAATGCTTTGCAGTAATGCTGATAAGGTATTGGATGTAGGCGGAGGGTCCGCAAGTTAGTTGAATAGGAATGAAGTTTTATTGTGCTCGTAACTTTCAATTTCATTATGGTTATGTCTTGATTTCCCCAGGCCAAAAATGGGCTGAATATTTTGCCGCGGCTGGACCAGGTTTTGCAAACGCAGATTTCGCCGGATTGTTGTATTCGCGCGTTGGTGCAAACGCCAATATTGGGACGCGCAGTGAGATTGGTTCGACGTTGCAGAATTGCTGCCATCGAGCAAGCGCTGCGCGAGGCTGATATCCGCACGTCCCCTCAACAGATATCATTATTAGGCGGTACATTACAAAAGAGGGCGTAGCTCTTTGCATGTTCACATGGCCGAGTGAGCACTGTCAAATTCTAGCAGTGACAAAAAGCGAGAACGACAATGGTTCTGTGGTATTGCGCCCTCGTCACACTCAGGGAACTAAGTTAAAATCCTGGCAAGGACGATTGTCTTTTTTTAAAAAGTAATTTTAAGCACTTGACAGCATAAAGCCAGGCATTCCTTTCCCTCACAGTCTTTTACTCGTCCCCCCTCCTCCCCCCCGCTTCCCCTTTAACCAGAGGTGACATTCCAAGCCTCCGGTACAAGGCATGGAAAGTTTTTACATTCAGTCAAAAATGCAGAGTAAGCTTAGCTGCATTGTTCGTGCCCCCTCGACTTTGCCTTTTGCTAATCCTCCCCACCTGCTCGTGTGTCTTCGTGTCGCTGTCAGCGAGCGCGACGGCCGCATTAAGAAATCGGAATGGTGGAGCTGGAACGCGTGACATCAATACGCAGGGCGCAAAAACACTAGGGCGAAAAACGTCACGTGACTCTTTCCGTCTAGCTGACGGGATCTCTGCGGTTGTTGTTTGTGGCGTTTGCCAAGTTATAGAAATAAGTGGGCCACGGAGGTCCGGTTTCCGAATTGCGCTCTTCAGTGTTCTGTTGCTTTCGTGCGTTGCAGACGCGGCCGTGCTTTTTTGTTGTAAGTGGCCGGAATAAGTCCACGTCAATTTTTTTTAATGGTGATATTTTTCGCCGGAGTTCATGGCACCCTTGTGTTGTGTTTGTTGACAGCGCTTCGACAAAAACTGCTCCTCGCCGACAACGAGACGTCAGTTGAATGTGCGCAACCTTCTTTCTCGACTGTGTTTTCGGGCTGCCCGAGTGGGATTATGCATCTATCAAGGAATACATGATATTGTTACATGATATCGCTTTTATTAGTAAGTAGACTGCAAGCATGCTTCTGATAGTAGTATTGCATTCCTCTCAATCGTCGCGTTTTTTGCGTTTTACTTTTGTTTTGTTTTGTTTGGCAGGAAATTAGTGTTAATTATATTTTATAATTTTTGTTTTATTTTACAGAGAAGTATGACTGTTGTAAATATGTCTAGAATAAGCAGTGTATAATTACAGTGACTAATAAACATCTGGGAGTGTTTGAAAGAAATATGTTCGTCTGTGTATTTTATTGACATGTGAAAAATGATATGAAACATTCTATAGAACACAGACTTGCAGAACGTCGTGCCAAAACGGAGCAGACGCATCATAGAATATTCGCACGATATTGTGCTAACACTAGACTGGGGCAAAACGCTGCACGACAATACCTGCTGGATATCGAACGGTGGTGCAAAACTACACATTTGAGCAATGTTGGAACCGACTTTCAGCCGGTACTGGCACTACACTGCCAAGTAGCCCGTGCTGCTTGGGAACGAAGATGATGAAATCTGACTATCGTGTTTCCAACGCTTATTTAATTTACATTTCTTCTGGAGCCATGA